CCCATGTTCAAATATTTTTAACCAGAGTTTAGCTGATAATCTCTATGGCCCCTTACTGTGGAGCAGGGACTTGGAGTTTTGTTGAGGTAGAGTGGCTCTCATTTCGGCTCTGTCAGGCATGTGCTTTTCGCTGTTCACAGAAAAGCCCACCCAGTTTGACCCCAGATCAAATCTGCAGCTGCTCAGAGGCTAAATTCTCTGACTGTTCAGTATCGCGCATGCTCCATCCAGGGGCTGGGCTGGAATTGCCCAGCTCCTAGATGCTGAGGGCTTCCGTGGCACAAGAATGGAGGGCCTCGAGAACGTGTGTCCCTCTGCTGGCACCCAAGCAGCATGGCAGAGGACGAGGAGTCAATCCTGACTGAGTGTCCTGTGCTGATACAAAATTTGTATCCACAGACACAAACACGAGCCACTGATATCCACAGGTGTCCGCAGATATACAGCGGATAGCCATGGGTTTGCAGGGCTCTACTGACTGAAATATGGAGAGGGCTAAAGCTGAACCAAGATAAGTGTGGAAGAAGTGGATGGGGACAGGAGATTAGGAGGGGGACGGCTGACAGCTGGTGGGGGATATGCTGGGGGGCAAAGAGGTTATGAACTGGTTGCAGTGTCTACTTGAGGTCACTAGCATCCTAATTTTTTATGCTTAACTTTCCAACCTGAATATCTAGAGAGGCGCACGCCACCGGGTATAAAACCAGTTTTGTAAATCTAAAGCTTGATGACTTGTTGATTCTTAATGGAGATCCAAGTGAATGGTTTATAGGATTGGGGACCATGTCATGCTGGACTCTGTGCCTTTTAAGTAGATGTGTGCGCTAAAGTAACTTGCTTTTGAAGTAAACATTTCATGCGAACCCTTCTAAAATGTTTGTCCGACATTTGGGAGGTGATCTTTGGGTATTATCTTATGTAGTTGTTAGACTCACCTTGAGTGCTTTATTACTGTTAGTTCAAAGTCCCAAGGAAGTATTGCTATAGAAAAATGTAATGTACAAGTGAGAATCACTTGCTTTCTGATAAACCCTCTGTAGGTTACAGATGAAGTGAGATGAGTTTATGGGTTTGAACCTTTTCTGAACACAATACAAATTAGATTGTTAAACTCTTGCTCTTCAAAGGCTAGGAAACATGAAATGGCATCACTTCAATCAAAGGAGGTGAAAAAATGAAGATGAAAATAAGATTATTTGTGGAGACATGGTTTATGTGGTTGATGAAGAAGTGAAAAGTTAGGGATTGTTGGCTCTTAAGGCCTACACAAATGAATTGTGAAATAGGAGCGGTTATTTACTTTTCATTTATTTTTAATTTCCTCAAAGTGTTATAATCCAAAGACTGTGTTATCACTAGTCCTCTTGTCTTTCTGCTTTTTCTAAATTGGCCCAAGATATTCCTTAAACACGTTTCTGGTAAGGACCAATTTCCAGAGGCATGAGCGTACGATCGACAATGTTCTTCTGGGTCCAGAATGTTGGAAGAATACCTGTTCTGTGATGGTCTCAGAGATGACAAGCATGCCTGCGGTGATATCAATATTAAAATAGCGATCATTACATCTAGAGCCTTTTTGAAGGGGAATTGTATGTGGCCGGGGGGTATATTGTGCTTTTCTAGCAGGGAGATTGGGAACTGAATGTGGTTAGGCTGCAGTGCACTGAAAGCTAGTCCCACCATGACAGGTGTTTGGCCTGTAGAGGAAGGAGGAGGCCAGTGGTGCCAGGTGGTACTAATGCTAGTTTACATGTTACAGTTTATTAGTAGCCATAAACCGTTATCAACAATTCAATAATGTGTATGAGTACCCGTGTGAGTGACGTGGTACTATTCACTGCCAACCATGGGAAAAGCATAACTGATCAATGCTTAGATTGTAATCAAATGTAAGATGTGTGACCAAGAAGCAACCAGTGAGATAAGAAACATTGACATTCATGTACCACTTTTCATCCCAAAGGATCTGAAGCCACCTTATAAAATGTCTCCTATTGCACACAGCTGAAACAGTCATCTCTTGATAGAATGAAAGCTAAATTAGGAGCACACCGTTATGCCCCTGTTTAAGGCCGAAAGCAAAAAAGAAATATATCTAACTGAATGGTTCAGGAATTTAAGGAGGCAGAATATATGAAAATCAAACATTTGCATTTGTTCAGGACTCCAAAACCACCATGGCTACACCTACCCTGCTGATCCTTTACATCTTTGAAAGATCTTTGTGATGTATGTTTTGTTTGTCAACCTGGCTTTGTGGGGTATATATTGCAAACACTTTGAATGCATGTTTGTATTGAGGGAGACAGAAAAGGGGTCTATCGCTGTTTTGCATTTTAGATAATCCACCCTTGTTATTGCTGGACCAGAGGCTCTGTGATGTTGACCCAAGTATCTGACTGTTACCATTTGCATACAGCTTTTTCATCTCCTTACTGCAAACAGTGGGAGGATTTTTGTGTTTCAGAGCTTGTGTAAACAGGAAGTAGCAAAATGAAGGCAAGCATCTTGGACTGAGTTTATCGCATTTCTGGAGTTGCCATAAATTGGCAGGATTTCAAAACAAGCAGGATTGCTTGAGGTTTGGAGCATAGCTGGTATGTAATACAATGTAGTTGTATTATGATTATGATGGAAATTGAAATTTGCTCAGTCCCTCCTCTATGCCTGTGAAGGACAGAGCAGTAGAGGAACAGGCTTCTAGTTATTGATTATACAGGCAGTCCCCAAGTTACGCGGATCCGACTTATGTCGGATCCGCAGTTACGAACGGGGCCCTCCCTCTCTCTGGTCTCCAGCAGACCAGGGAGAGGAAGCAAAGCGGCGGAACACGCGGGCAGCAGACAGCCCAGACGCGTCTCG